AAACATATAATTGAAACATATAAATATAAAAACATAACCTAATATCATAATTAAAGTGTCATGAGATAGAATACACATTAAAACATTATGTCCTAATATTATACATGGATAAGGGAAATTAGGAAATACATTGCAGAATATAGGTAAGTAAGGTAAAATAACTACGGTTCTTAAATGGAACGTAATTTTTTACATGCTTCATCCCAAGACTTTTTTGTAAATGTAAGATGACCATTAGCAAAAATCTTAGTAATAGTTTCAGAAGACTCAGTAGGTGTAAAGGATGGGTCTGATGCGCTTTCTGATCGGTAACGATTTGGACAAACTTTTGCAGTATGACCCTCACGGTTACACAGTTGACAAGTTACTTTATATCGTTGCGGGCATATAGTAGCAACATGACCAGAAATATCACATATTTGGCAAACAACGTTGTCTTCATTTTTAGGCAATGGAATGTCTTGGAGGATTGCAATATGATTCCTTGATGTTGTCAACTTCTTCCTTAGAGGACTCCGAGATGGACAATCCCATAATGATTCAGGAGTATCCTCAACAATTCCTATGTAAATTAACATAAAATTAATATGTTAGTAAATGGTATGCATCAACATGAAATAAAAAATTATGAAAGGGAAAAGGAAAAAAAAAATTATACCATCATATTGGCTGTCAATGTATGGTTGACTGTCCATTTGACTGTCAAAATAGGATTGACTGTTCATTTGGCTGTCAAAGTAGGATTGACTGTTTATTTGGTTGTCAAAGTAGGATTGACTGTCCATTTGGTTGTCAAAGTTTGGTTGATTGTCCATTTGGCTGTCAAAGTAAGATTGACTATCCATTTTACTGTCAAAGTAATCTTAACTGTTCATTTTGCTTTAAAAATAATCTTGACTATCTATTTAGTATATAATAACTTTATAATCAATTAATTAATTAAATTAATCATAGTTTACTTAGTAATTAAATATGTAATTATGATTTAATTAATCAATCAATCAACTATAATCATTATAATTAATTATGAATTAACTAACAATGTAATTAATTATAATTTACTCCACAATTAAAGCATATAATCATAATTCTCTACTCAATCAATTAAATAATTAAAAAATCAATATTTATCAATCAAGTAAATATTCTTTTCATAATTTTATAATGTATTTGATATATAAAAATTCAATATAAATATCATTTTAGTTCAATAATAATGCACATCTCAATTAATCTCAATATCAATTTCTTAATCAAGCTAATTTGAAATAAATAACAAATTGACAACCATAAAAACTCAACATAAATATCACTCTACTTCAAAAACCATAGATATTTAAATATCAATTTCAATATCAATCTCAACATTAACCTCAAACACAATAATTCAAAATTTTTAACTTTGTATATACAAATTTACTACAAACAACTCTTCAACTAAGTATAAATCTCAATTTCAAAAACTTGAAAAAAAATAATTGTAATTCACTGATAATTCTAGCAATAATCTATACTAATCTCCAAATAATAAAATAGTATATTTATGTAAAAAAAAACCACAAAAATCCCAATTACCTCTGCAGTGGGGAAGTTGATGCTGCAGGACCAATAAAAGCTGGATTTCAACCTACAAAAAACGAAAAATGGGGTATTGTAAAACCAAATCCAAGGAAAAAACAAGTAAAACCAAAAAAAAAAAAAAAAACTCTGCTGCAACTTCCGAGAAACCTCCTCCACGTGGTGTGGTTGCTTAGAGATGCTGGAGGCTTTCTTCTCTGGCAAGGATCAACAAGGAACAATGCAATGACTGAATCAAAAAACTGTGCCGAGCTAGTGTAAGTTAATCCAAGGAAAATAAATCAATCAATTGACCGAGAGAGGGGCGAACTCACCGGCACCGGGGCGGAGCGGAGAACAGGGGGCGCTACGGAAGAACAGTGACAGCAACCTTCATCGAAGAAAAAACCAGATCTACCGCCGCAGAGAAAAGCAGAAATGGGGAAGAAAGGAGAGGTGCGGATGATATGAACAAGTATATTCGACAGCCAAAGCTGTCGAATATACAGAGGAAACGATGTCGTTGCCAACCATACTGGTGCCGATTATGTTGCCAAGTTTAATCGATAGAAAATTTCTGACGAATAAACACATTCGTCAGAAATTTTCTGTCGAATATATTTATATATTCGACAATTTTTTTGTCGAATATAATTACTGTCAATTAAACAAGAAGTTTCCATTATCATCGTCAAGTTTACATATTCGTCAATCTTTCTGTCGATTATGTACACATTTTCGACAGAAATGTGGCTGTCGAATATATTCTTGTCGCATATGCCGCGTTTTCGAGTAGTGACCATTCCATAATTCATTTTATATAAATAGATTTAACATGTTAATTGATGTGAAGTATTAAAAAAATTACATTTCTTATAGTTCAGCGGGAACAGTAAAAATACAAAAAATAATGTAAGGATTAAAAATATTCAAAATAAAAAATTTAGAGACTAAAGTTGACATTTAGCCAAAATTCAAACAAAGTTTCTTACTACAATAAAAATAAAAACTTACCAAAAAAAAAAAAAGACATACAAAGGAATTCCTTAGTGCCGACAACAATTTCACCCCTACGGTTACCATGTTGGTGGCCATCGCCTGCTGTGCCATCGACTTTCCGTGCTGCAAAGGAGGGACAGGGCATCGCCCACCCATATGGATAAATATTTGATTCATACTTGGTTACTTTTAATACATTATTATAGTTGGATGGCAAGGCAACCCATACTGACATGTTGGAGCTCAATTGAAAGTTGAAATGCTATTGGATGAGATAGAATTTAAGAAAAAAAAAATGGTTTGGACCATTGACTATAGAAATGGCAACACATTTATGAATGGAATTTTGTGTTACAATCCACAGTTGTACTTTGTGTTGACACTTTATGACAACAACGGTCAAAAGAAGAAGGAGAGCTACACATCTTAAATATCATTTCTCCAAAAATTCCTTTCTTCATTGACACTCTAATTTTGCCCCTCCTTTTTTTTAATTTCCAAATTCCCCCTTTTGCTTAGAGGCCGACCAAAGATATTCTAATTCCATTCTCCACTTCCTCTCTCCCATCCCATAAGATGCTACTTCCACTTCTCTCTCTTTTATATTATTCTTATGTATGAGTCAAACCTCCCAATAGTTTCCAGAAAAAAGGATCTCGTGAACTAATTCAAAGATATACCATATGTCCCAACTAATGTTTAGCGAATAGAATGGAGAATAATATCGAATTGATTGAGAGTAGGGGTACGTGGTTGCAGATTATAACTAGGGGCTAATGCCTTACAACATAATGCAACACAAATTCGAACATAACTAGTAATGTTCGGTATTGCTTGTACAAAAAAAAAAAAATACTATGATTTTTGAAAGTGTTGTACTGTGCTGGATTATGTTAATTAAATTTAATTATTTATAATAAATTTATATTTTTAGACAAGATATTGTGAGAAAAAGTGTTGTGTGCAACAATACTGTCAAATGAAACTTACCTTACTGATGAGTTTTCTTTCTTTTTTATTATATATATTTATTTATTTATTTATGATAAGCACATTATTGATGAGTAATAGGGGTTGCTGTGGCACTTTTCCTATAACCCAACGTAGAAATTGTGAGCAAATTGCTAAGCCCATGGATCTAACAGGACCAATCTAATCACTTTTACCGTGGGATCAATTTGTAACAAATAAATAAGATCAAGATTGTTTAAAGATTGTTTAAAAATTGTGTCCTTAAATTTAAATAACAGTAAGCCTTTGCCCCCACAATTTTTTTCATCTAGATTACCCTTACTAAATAGAAATATTGAAACCATGGATCCAAACAAACAAGAACTTGCAAGATATAAACGGAGAGAATCCTAAAAAACAAAACAAAATATTAACACAGCTAGCATGCAATCATCCATCAATAATTTCTGGAGTTCGGATGCTAAAGCAAACGAATCTATACATCCAAATTGAATATATATATAGTCAGATCCTCATCAAACAATATATCACAAAGATTATGATTCCATACTGGAAAGAAAACATTCAATCTGTAAGCATAACGATCGCTAAATTTTCCGCAAAACTCACAGAATATTTCACATATAACAATGTGAAAACAAAGTTCATTCCTTTTCTTCCTTTCCTCCAAAGTATTCCCAGTTGAATTCAGATGATTTTAGAGTTTCGTCATTGATGACAACGAATGGAATAGGTATGTATTGGTATATAATTTAATTAAAGAACAGAATCATATATGTTTCTTTATCTTTATTTGAAAAACTCTGTTGGAATCTTAGAAGTTAATTTATTATTAAGTAAATATCATTTTATATGTTAGATTTAATATTTAAATATTAAAATTAGTATTTGAATTTTTTTTTTAAATACATCAATTTGAGGTGAGGGGTGTCTCTTTAATTAAGATCATAAAAAAATTAATTTTAAAATACATAAAAATTTGTTGAAAACAATCTGCCATAAATATATTATATATAAAAGAAAAACTCTGTTCGTTATATTCTTGGTCAATTACGTTTATATTCCATGCATTTATATATTAAAATATACGTACGTACTTGAAGGTTTAGGTAAGACTGCGGATGGGACCATTTGCGGTATCTAACCAATTAGGTCATACGATTCATCCCAATCACCATATCCTCTCAATTAAGTACTTAATCATGTACATCGTTTTAAATAAAAAATGCATTCATAGCAACTGAATCCCTTTTCTTCCATTACCTATTTTCAAAAATAAAAAAAAGAATCCCTTTTCTTATTCATGAATTTTATAATAGCATTATTAGCCCCTTTATATATTCATGAAAGATTTTCAAAAGAAAAGATTTCTTCTTTCTTTTTTCTCTCTTAATCTTTTGAGTGAGTTCATCTATTTTCGTATAAGTTTTTTTTTTTTTTTTGCCTAGCAAGTGTAGAATAAACCTACGTTTAATTGTTGTTTTTCTTAAATTTATGAGATGTCAGTCATCTTCGACCACAGATATATCAAATTAATCAACAAAATTCTTCAGCCTCATATACGTTGTGCATGACTAGTTACTTGCAAACATTTTTTGAATTTTTAATGTTTAAACTTAAACACAGCGGATTTTCGTGAATGTTCTAGAATTTATTTCTCTTTGAATAAGCCTGGATAATCATGTTACTAATCCCACTCTCTTTCCATAACCTGTACTACATACTTTTGTTTACTTTTAGTTGTCATTTTTAATTTTTGTGACACAAAAAAAAGAATTTAATAAAAAGTTACAACAACATAATTATTATTTTTTGAAATTTCATTCACATCCTTGACAAGGTTTTATAAAAAATTCATTAAATAATTTAATAAGATAAAACTGAAACAAAACATTTACGTACCCTATTTTTTGATTGGAAAGAAACAGTTGGGAAGAAGATGAGAGGGGAAGGAAAACAATATCTTCTTATTTTTCTCTATTTTCCTCTCTCATCTTCCTTAATTTAGTTATGCTAAAATTATAAAGAAAAGTTAAGGAAAGCTAGTCCCCTCCCCTCCCTCGATAAAGATGGACGGAGATAGTATATAAGAAGGAAGGAAAAGAAAATAAAAAGAAAAAAAAAAAAGAAAAAGAGAAAGGAATAATAATGGTTCTTGAGGAGGCCTTTTGATAGGGGCTCCTTAGTAGTAAAAGTGTTGGGTAGACTGTTTGCAAGAGAAACTTTAGGCCCATCGCAAACCCATGTGATTTCAACCTATGAACACACATCAAAAGAAAGCGCAAATTTAGCTTTTCTTATATATATATATATATATCAACTCTCCAATGAAATGTATGTCCATCTCATCATCTTCTACTCATGACATTTTTATTTAAAAATTCATATTTAAAAGCCAATAAAGATATTTATTAAAAATAACTAGACATTTAAAAAAAATTATTTCTAGGAGAATTTTTGTTATTTAAAAAAATCTTAAATTTACTATCTTTCATATTTTAAGAGTAAAAACGACAGTCAATTTTTTTTATCAGCAAAACCATAATCAAAATATTGTTATAAATAAACCTACTCACCAAAAAGAAAATGATAAACTCTCAATGATTTCATATTACAATAGATATTATAATAGAAAATGCTATTTTATGATTGAATTTTCTTATTTAATAAATTATGTGTAAATTGATATATATCTATTAATTTAATATAACGTAATTTTGCCAAATGATCTAAATAGTTTAGTGGTAATTTCCTTTCATTGAAAGTAAGAGATCTTAAGTTCTAGTTGCATGGCATATGCGTGGGGTAGAATAAGAGATAAGCAATGGTTGTTTCTCGTTGTGCAACCAACAAAAAAAAATGATGTAATATTGTACAAAATATTGTAATTTTAATTTTAGTTTTAAGCCATTTTTCTTTGATGTATTTAAAACAATTGCTGCCCCATGCATTTCAACTTTTGTACTGCCACTTGAATAACTTTTTTTTTTTTTTAAATAGGCAACGGAACTACTTGAATAACTGATTCAACTAATATTTTGTAATTTTAGGACTTTTAAAGGACCTCAGTGAAGAGTATTGACAATTTTATATAATTTAATTTTAAAAGTAACAAAAAGAAAATGACAAAGGAGGGAATATTCGGGCCCAAAGTTTAACTGGCAGCAGACAAAAGGGATATTCACAGGGAGGGAAGAGGAGAATACAATGACACGTCTTACAAGAAGAACCTCTTTTTCCCTATGGATTCTTCACAAAAGGCATAGGTTGGAAGGCTTGTACCAGAAGGCTTATCCCTGCTATACAATTCGAACCAACTCATCATTATTATTATTTCCTAATAAATAAAAAAATTGTGTTTGGACCATAAAATATTTTAAATTACAAATAAAAAATTGTTAAATAAAAAGATAAATTTTAATATAAATTTTTTTATTTAATAATTTTAATTATATAATTTAATATAGCATGGACTATACATAATTAGGTTTCTATAAATAAAAGTCACAAAAAAATTAAGCTAGCTCAAGGGAATTTGATGTAGGCTTCCTCCTTTAGCCTTTCACTTTCATGCAAAAGATCACATTTATCCTCTTCCTTTCCTTTTTTAATATTTGATTTCTCACATTTATCCCCAATTCAGCCGTCGGTAATGCTTTTTCAGTGGTGCTATGTTTATCTAGTAGTTTCAGCTTTCCCTTTGCTCAAATCAGAAATACTCGGTAGTTCAAAAAAAAAAAAAAAAAAAAGAAGAAGGAAATCGACTTTTTTTTTTTGATATATTGGAGGATTAGTTATTTAGTTGGTAATAAATTTGAACCTTTGACTTGGACATAAAATTAAGATTAATAAGTACCAATTCTACTAAATTATTGTTGGTAAGTTGAGCAATTTTTTGTTTAAAGAAGCAATGCACAATTGTCTTGCACTTAAACTAGGAGCCGATTCCATGGATTTAGTCAAATCAAAATCATGATTCTAAGGTTAAAATTGGATTTGAATCTATCATTCTAAGCATTATAAAAATTACTCTTTCAATCCTAGGCTAGTAATACCAAAAAGAATTTAGTTAGGTTAGTAGTCACTAACTTAAAAACCTTGATTTAAAGTTAAGATTAGAAGTTTAAATATCTATATTATCAAACAGCCAAAAAAAAAAAAAAAATTAGGTCGAGTTGTGATGACATGCATGAAAGGTTATGGATCCAATTGTAATGTAAATTTGACTACCTTTACTAAGCTCAGATTAAAAATGAAACAGGACATTAGCATGTTACCTTAAATAGGTACCAAGAAAAGATATATATGGATTAGCTATCAATTTAATTAAGTAATTTAGTGATAATTTTTTTAATAAAAATAAAAAATTATGAGTTTGAATTGCATAACATGTGAGGTGGACTAAGTTAATTAAAGGGTTGAAGATGATTGTCTTAAACCCATTATATAATTTAAAATAAAATAAAAAAATAAAAAATAAAAACAACTAAAGACAAACACTTGAACCGAAAACATAGTTTAGCTAATTATATTGGAAATCCGGATCACATCAGAATTTCTAAGGATGGTTGTCATAACCTAGATAGGAGAAAAAAAAAAAGGAAAGGAATTATAGTTTTCTAATTAAATTAAATATTTTAAGAAAGAATCTTCTTACCTTCCTAGCCACTTCATTAAAGTTAAGTAGCAGAAGAAGATTCCCGGGATGTTAGGCTCCTTTATCATTCTTCTAGGAAGGGGGATTTTGGCTTTGAGCTTTGTGGGTAATGTTCCCTTAATTTACAGTCGTAGAATATTGGAACTAAGATATTCTTTCCTTGGAGGCAAATATTATATTCTTTTATATGTATCTCTTCTCCTTTTATCTCTCTGCACTGCACTCAATTTTAGGGCAATTATGCAACTTTTGAAACCAAAAAGAAAGTTGCATTGGTGGATTGATACTAAACGCCATATGAATATGTCCTCTCTCTCTATCCCACAATGTGATGCACGATAAAAAGGATTAAAATGAAGAGAAAATGGTGTCTATCCCTTTTGAGCCCTTTTCATTATTTAATCAATGATGGTAGAATAATTTAATTCGTTTTAATCCTTGTGAAAACGATAAATCGATACTCTCTTCGTTCCCAATGTCGTCTGCTTTGTTTTATATTAAATTTTGTTTTAAATTATTCTTTTTATTTTTGTTAAAATTAGACGCGTGTACTCACATAAAGAAATTACTTCGATACAATATGAAAAATAAACATATGAAAGATTTATATTTAATTTAAAATTAGTTAATAATAAATAAAGTAACACTTTTTATATTTAAAAGATTTTTCTATATAAAGAAGTAATAAATGCATTTTTTATAATTAATTTTTATTAAAGTGTAAATGTTGATTTTGATTTAATCAATTAATTAATTAAAGTTATTCATGTATTAGTGGTGTTAAAATATACATCAATTTTTATAATTTTTAATGTGAATTAATTATAAAAAAATGTATTTACTATACTTTTAACCTGTATGCTTAAGCACATGTTAGACAAATTCATATTTAAATTAGATATTTTTTTATTATATTTTTTATGTGAATTTTCCTACTCAACAATTTTAAGTTTTTTAACCTTATAGTTAAAGTTTTACCTTACCAGCAATATGTTTTCTTTTATGTATTTCTCTTGGGTAGAATTGAAGAAAACCTTTGGACCAATAGGCCAAAATTCTAGTGTAAAAAAGTTTCTCGTTTGTTGGTAAGGGTTCGAGTTTGTGCATTCTCTCTCCACTCTCTTCCTCCACATGTTAAATTTTAATTACCTTGTTTTATAAAAAAATTAAGGGTTAGGATAAAAATAAAAAATTTATTAATCACAACGATGATAATTTCTTAAGACTCATGCACGGCGGAAAAAAAAAAAGACAGAGAGAGCATGCAAGAGAAATTAATGGATGATATATAACTTTAAATTAAGTACTTCTTACAGTACATGAGTTGAACATCTACCGATTTTTGGTGGATTTCCAGCATAATATCTTTCAATCTGGAATTGTTCCACATCTTTAACCTGTTCTTTAGTTATTAGACCTTTTTGGTGTTAATTTTGTGAACAACTTTTGAGAATGATGATTTTCCTTAAAATTCTTTTAATCAAGATTGATCAGGTAATTGTAGATAATCAAATCCTCTTTGATATACTTCTTGCAATCTGTATCTATCCTAACAAATTTAACTAAATATGAAAATAACATACGAATCGGAAAAAAGAAACAAGATATATGTCCATGGTTCCATTCAATGTATTCTCGATTTGTGATTTGTAAATAAATACATACGTATATTTATATTGGTTGTGGTAGACAAAAAATGAAAAATAACAATGAAAAGGAAAATCTAAGATTAATAGATTAATATTTGATTCATATTTTAATATTATCAACTCAATGTTATTTCATTCTTATTTTCCTAGAATCTCCAACAAGTTTTGAAGAAGTTAATACATGATGATTTGAATACAAGATCTTTACTTTATGGAGTAGATCAATAGACATTGGTAAGGAAATTTTTGATTTTAGAGTAGGAGAAAGAATCATAGTTTAGAGAATATAACAAGGAAAAGTAAATAAAAGGATGAAAAAGGACAACCCAAAGTAAAATTAGAAGAATCATCTTTTGTGTTAATTAGTGATTTGAAATTTGTAGAAAGACTTGGTAGAAAAGACACCAAAAACCAGGCTCTAAGCACATGACCCCTCTGCTGTCAGAAGAAGCCCCTTGATTCCTTCTCTCTAATATTTTAGCTTTTTCTGCCTTTTGTTCTTTGCAAGAAGTTACCATCCCTCTGCTTTATCCTCCTTTTTCTTTTCCTCTCTCTTCCCCTCGAAACCCTACTTTATTCCCTTAAACTCCCCTAAAAAGAAGACGATCCTCCCTCGAATCCTCCTTGTGTTCACAAACAACATCTCCTCCCTTTTCTTTCAGCTCTCTCTCTTTGTTTCTTTAAACTCAAACCTAGATACCAAAACGAGCCTTCCGTATTAGTATGATCTTTTATTGATTCAAAGAAAGGATATATAGTCTGTTGAGAAGTTGAGAAGATAGTTTCTTGATTATATATAATTCTTGTTAGCCATGGCATCACCATCGGAACTAACCCTAGATATCAAGCCATGCAACTATTCCATGCTGTTAAAATCGTTTGGAGATCATCAGCAAACAGATCAATCTCAGAAGCTTGAAGAATTCCTGGCTTGTCTGGAAGACGAACGCCTCAAGATCGATGCTTTCAAGCGCGAACTCCCTCTTTGCATGCAACTTCTCACTAATGGTACATAACAATTTTTGTTTATTGCATTTGGATTATCCTAGCTAGCTAATATCGGATATTCATGTGTCATCTTTGTGATGATGTGTTAGCTTCCAACTTTTCTCTTTTATTCTTTTGATTTATTGAAGTTAGAGATGGCTTTATTTGTTAGTCCAATCTCTTTTGAATCCAAAGCAACTAGATATTCTACACATTTTTCTAAATAACTAAAGCCAATTCTATGTGAAATATACCAAAAAGAAAAAGGATTCAATATTCATCAATGTTTCTTCGTTTTATTTTCTTTTCAGCCGTTGAGGTTTCAAGACAGCAATTACAGGTTCATAGAACCAGGCCAGTTCTTGAAGAATTCATACCTCTTAAGAATTTTAGCTCGGAAATTGCAGAAAAATCATCACAGCCAACTTCTGATAAGGCAAATTGGATGACAAGTGCACAGCTATGGACTCAAGCAGGCAATGAAACCAAATATCCGCAACCGACCATAACACCATCTAAAGACATTGAAATTGGATTAAATGTCAGCCCCAAGCTTTCCTTGGATACCAAGCAGAGAAATGGAGGAGCTTTCCTTCCGTTCTGCAAAGAACGAAACCAGTGTCCTAAACCGTCTCTACAGGCTCTTCCCGAGCTTGCGCTGGCCTCAACTCCTAAACAAATGGAAGATAAGAAGTGCTCAGAGATCAAACAAGATGGCCAGAGATCAGAGAACTCCAGCAAGGTTGGCACTGGCCAGGGTGTGGTGGAAGCAAAACCAACTGGTAATATTAACCAAACAGATGGGCAAGCAACGAACACAAACACTACTACTACTACTACAACCCAACTACATAGGAAGGCCAGGCGGTGCTGGTCGCCAGACTTGCACCGGCGATTTGTAAGCGCTCTCCAGATGCTAGGTGGTTCTCAAGGTAAAACTAAGTGAAAGATAACAAAGGTTATTTCGATTTTCTTCAATAATTAATTTTGTTGAACAAAGGAGATTACTGTTTTCGGTAAACAAAATAATTTTAGGACATGTTCAGGTCCGTTCAAATTTCAATCATCAAATTGCAACCATTAAAAATTCTGAATTTGGTTCATCTTGCATGTTGGTTATGCTAATTTCCTTGGTTTATTGTTGCAGTGGCGACCCCAAAGCAGATCAGGGAGTTGATGAAGGTTGATGGTTTGACTAATGATGAAGTTAAGAGCCATTTGCAGGTATTTTTTTTTTTTCTTTCTTGCGACAGAGACGAAACCTTCGTACGATATTCAAAACCTGACAACGTGGTACCCTGAAAAAAAGAGTACAAATCTTCTTACTTATGGTTCTGCTTTTTATGTGCCTGGCACAGAAATACAGGCTTCACACAAGGCGGCCCAGCCCGAGCCCACAAGTAACCGGAGCCCCAGCGCCTCAGCTTGTTGTTCTAGGTGTAGGTGGTATCTGGGTCCCGCCCGAGTATGCCACGGCAGCGACGGCTGCCCACACCGGGGTACCTGCAGCTCTTTATGGTACACACCACCCCGCTGCCACACATGCAGCCACCCATTTCTGTGCATCACCCATGCCCCAAGACTTTTACACTGCGGCAGCGGCCGCAGCAGCAACGACGCCTTCACTGGCGCCGTCACCTCACCTGCAGCACCATACGTTTCACCACCAGCTCAATTTGTACAAGGCCGCGGCGCAGGCTCACAGCTCTCCGGAATCTGATGTCGGGGGGACTGGGGACCGGTCTGAGAGCATTGAAGATGGAAAGTCGGATCAGAGCAGCAGCTGGAAAGGTGAAAGTTGGGAGAACGGTGGGTGTGGAGAGGGAAAAGGGTTGGCGGCGTTCCGGGAAGACGGAGAGGATAGCAACGGAAGCGAAATCACGCTAAAGTTCTAGACGGTGTTAGTGTTAGGTTAGAAATATTTATTTCTAGATTATTCTAGATGTGTTCAAATTTCTAAAAGAAAAAAAATAATGTCAAATATCTGTAGAGACCAAAAAAAAAAAAAAAAGCGAGTGTTTGTTTTGTTTACTTTTCTTTTCTTGTTAGTATTGTCTTATTCGAAAAAACCGATAATTGGATTATTTGGTTTTGGCGTTGCTTGGTTTTTTTTGCCGTTTTGTGCATAAAGACAGATTTGCCCTTACTATATTTTCTTTCCCCAAAATCTCCGCCGTTATGGAGGTGGAGGCAAGGCTTCACATAGGACTGTTTTATATCTGAACCAAATTCGTTGGTTTGATTTAAATTGATTTTTAATTAAAAATTAATTTAAGTTAATGTTAACTTGAGTTAGTTTGCATTATAAAATTTTTTTTATATTTAGTTTGAATTATAATAGTTAAGATTAATACATATTAGTTTTTATTTTTAAAATAATTAGAGTTAATTTACATTTAAAAATTAAAATTTTAATTTAAAATTTAAAAATTCACTCTATTAAATATTGATATTTAGATTTGAAAATCGATTATAT